AGGCAGCGAGTGTTACTCCGCCTTTACGGCTTGGGTTTAGGACCCCGTACCGGTGAACGAGTGGCCTTCGCCGAATTACGACCGGCCACCCCCCCTAACGTTTCGGTAGCCAACGGTACCTGCCCGGAACGATCGCAGGATCTATTGGTTCAACCGGGACCGGCCGAAGCCTGCGACACCTCGGCCCTGCTGAGGGTGCGAGTCCAACCCTTACGTAAAGACGAACAGGCCAAAACTTACGTCCTCTGCACCCAACGCCGGCCCGGCCAACCCTGGCTTCCCCATCAAGGTGCCGACGGCCGCATCGTGGTGTTGGAAGAGAAGAAGTCGCTTTTACCCCTCTGGTTGCAGGTGATCCTCATCGCCGGGTTGTTGGTGCTGTCGGGGATGTTCAGTGGGCTCAACCTGGGCCTGATGGCGCTGGATCCCATGGAGCTGCGCATCGTGCAGAACTGCGGCACCGATAAGGAGAAGCGTTACGCCCGCAAGATCGAACCCATCCGCCGTAAAGGCAACTATTTGCTCTGCTCCCTCCTGCTGGGCAACGTGCTGGTTAACACCACCCTCACCATCCTCCTCGATGACCTCATCGGCTCCGGCATCGGCGCCGTCGTGGCTTCCACCATCGGCATCGTCATCTTCGGGGAGATCGTGCCTCAAGCGCTCTGCTCCCGCCACGGCCTGGCGGTGGGCGCCAACACCATCGTGGTCACCAAATTCTTCATGCTGGTGACGTTCCCCCTCTCCTACCCCATCAGCAAACTCCTCGACTGCATCTTGGGCCAGGAGATCGGCACCGTTTACAACCGGGAGAAGCTGGTGGAGATGTTGAAGGTGACGGAACCCTACAACGACCTGGTGAGGGAAGAGCTCAACATGATCCAGGGGGCCCTGGAGCTCCGTACCAAGACGGTGGAGGACGTGATGACCCCCCTGCAGAACTGCTTCATGATCAACAGCGACGCCATCCTGGACTTCAACACCATGTCGGAGATCATGGAGAGCGGCTACACCCGCATCCCCGTCTACGAGGACGAGCGTTCCAACATCATGGACATCCTCTACGTCAAGGACTTGGCTTTCGTCGACCCGGATGACTGCACCCCTCTCAAAACCATCACCAAATTCTACAACCACCCCGTCCACGTCGTCTTCCACGACACCAAGCTGGACGCCATGCTGGAGGAGTTCAAAAAGGGTGAGAGGGTCGGGGAGGGTGCTGCTTTCTTCCCCTTGGAGGAAGCCGGCCGATGCCGGAAGCAAAACTCCGGGGAATTTTGCCCTCCGGGGCTGGAGCTGCCCGTGCCGGGGCTGCCTGGGTTCCCCGCGGTTCGGGCGGTCGCGATCCGGAGGGGACGGGGCGCTTGGGGTGCCGGACACGGAACCGGTGGCAGCGGCTCGGTGTCCGCAATCCCTCGGGCTTCCGGGGGTTGGGGCGTAACGGCGCTGCGCCCGGGGGGGAGAACCTCTGCTTTATCGGCCACGGAGCAACCGGTGCTCAGCGCCAGCCCGGGGAAACACTTTGGGAGTGTTTACTCGCTCCTTGTTTTTAATTATCGCCCACCGGAGGCCCTTGAATAACTGCTGGAAAATTGCTCTGCTTCCCTGGTTTAGGCTCGGCTCCTTCCTCCGGGCCCTTCCCCGCCACGGGGGTGCCGGTTCCCGCTCCCGCTCTGCTTCCCGCTCACCGTATCGGGGCACCGGGAGGAGGAGCGGGGACCCGGGGCTCACGGGAGGCTGATCCCAGCGGGGGGAGGAGGGGA